GAAAATGCCCCTCGGGTTACAATAATGACCAACTACCCACAAGGATAAAAACGGAAATTGACGAAATAAACTGAAACTGAAATGAATAATACATAAAATGTGTCAAAATACATAAAGTGAGTCAAAAGTAGAGACTCTCCATCGTGGCCATCGTTCTCCGGTGTCGCCTCTGATAAACGCATCGAAACCTCGGATTGACGTCCCCATCATTGTTGTTGGCGCTTTGCAAAATCCAAGTGGCATCACTTGTCATTCAAATAATTTTACCTTGTTTTGAAGGCAATCTCTTAGGTATTTTTTTCATTAAACTGGATATGGTGGTAGCCGAGTTTTAAGTCTATAAATCAGAGTACTTGGCTAGATGCAACTGTTGGATCAATTTTGATCTTCGGCGATGGATAATAGTTTTCTATGGTGATCATTTTTAATGCTATGTAGTTGATATATATCAACCATCTACTATTCTTCTTTGGCATAGTTATCATTGGCGATCTGAAGGGTGAATTGCTCCTGCTCCATCATGTCTGCAATGGATAGTCTATGAGTTTACCCGGCAAAAGAGCTCCCTTGATTTGTGGTAGCTCATCTTCCGTAGTTCTTGGTGTTAGATCTTTCATCTCCTAGAAAAGGGTAGAAAACTCTTGCAATAGCTGATTAACCTACTGGACCTATCAATCTCATGCAGGAGAAATACAAAACTAGGATTTTCGTTTATCATTTTCTTGCTTAATTGAGGGATGCATGACCAAGATAAGAGGGGGATTTGAAAAGAATGTTAGTTGTGCTAACTTTTACCAATGTGAATCGTCTTCCTTGATAGTGGATTGTGCTCTCAAAGGTATGGATTATTGAAGATCATATGATAAAGTTCCAAGAGAAGTGCTATGGAGAGTTCTTGAAAAGAAAGGAGTTAATAATGCTTATATTCAAATCATTAAAGATATGTATGTAGGAGCTATTACTTGTGTTCAAACACAAGGTGGATTGACCAAGTATTTTCCTATTTCGGTTGGGTTACATCAAGGATCAGCCTTAAGCCCATATCTTTTTGCTTTAGTCTTGGATGTTCTCACTAGACATTTGCAAGATGATGTACCTTGGTGTATGCTTTTTGCTGATGATATTCTTCTTGTTGATAAGACTAGAGAGGGAGTTGAAGGTAAACTTGAATTATGGAGGTCAACCTTAGAGTCTAAAGGTTTTCACTTGAGTAGATCTAAAACAGAATATATGGAGTGTAATTTTAGTAGTAATAGACCTAGTGAGGGGATTGTGACTTTGGGCGATCAAGTCATTAATAAGAGTACACGTTTTAGATATTTTGGATCTATTGTTCAGAGTGATGGTGAAATAGATGGGGATATTATCAGCAGAATTCAAGTTGGATGGTTGAAGTGGAGGAATGCATCGGGCTTGTTATGTGATAGAAATGTACCCCTCAAACTTAAGGGAAAATTCTATAAGATGGTAGTGAGGCCTGCAATGCTTTATGGTGCCGAATGTTGGCCTTTAAAAGAGAAGCATAATACTAAGTTAAGTGTGGCAGAGATGAGGATGCTCAGGTGGATGAGTGGCTTTACCCTTAGAGATAGGATACGAAATGAGCATATACGTGAAAAGGTTGGAGTAGCTCCAGTAGAAGATAAGATTAGAGAAAGTCGCCTTAGATGGTTTGGTCACATAAAATGGCGGCCTTGCGATGACCCGGTTAGGAGAGTAGAGGTATTAGATTTGACTTATGTTAAGAAAGGTAGGGGTAGACCTAAAAAGACTTGGTTAGAAAATATTAGGAATGACCTTTCTTTATTAGATTTAAACGAGAATTTGACTTTTAATAGGACACAATGGAGAAAAAGGATTCATGTAGCCGACCCCACGTAGTGGGATAAAGGCTTGATGTTGTTGTTGTTGTTGTTGGTAAGCCATACTACCGTAACTCTAGAATTTTTATCCTCCCCTACATCTCATTTCTTCTATAAAATAGGCCTATGATACTTAAACCTAATGCATTTAGATGTCACTTTATCTTCTAAGAACATTAGATAATAATTGTTAATATTATACCATTAAAATTACAAATCATATTTAGTTTTTATTTTACTAATTCTAACTCATCATCTTCTAAACATTTGCTCCGCCTTCTAATTTGTCACTTATTTCAATGAATGCTTCACAAATTAAAACTATTTTATTTGCAAGAAGCATACACTAAGGTACCTCTTTTTGAATATCCTTTGTAAGTTTCTCCATAAGCAATAAAAATAATATGGATTCAATTTCGATTCTTGTTGTAAACTTATGATAATTAGAAACTCATTGGTCGCTACAAAACTACTTTTGATATTAATCAATGCTCAATTATAATAATCCTTAATAACATCAATATATCTTTGACACACACCTTTCTCTTAAATCACATCAAATCATTCTGATAATAGTTGATATGCTTTCTCAGCCTGGTTGTATAGTTTATTGGTGTGTTCTGAAGCTGTATTGAATTGGTTGGATGGTTTAATGGGGGTCCTGAAGCTGTATTACTGGTTGCATGGTTTCATAGTGGGTCCTTCCAAGTTTGACTGACATTTCGCTGAATTTTCTCTGTTCTCAAGAACCATTTAAGTAATATATATTCTATCTCAACCTTGCTGTATAATGGTGTTTCCTTAAGCTGCATTGAATTGGATAATTTAATGGTTGGTCCTTTCAAGTTTGGCTGGCATCTCTCACAATTTTCTCAAATCTCATCAAGTTCGTACCCAATTCGTTGCACATGTAATTATAGACAATCTTTTCTAGGCCTCTAGTGGCAGGCTTTAGCACAATGGTTAAGTTGTCTATTTTAACCTACGGGTTGAATAACAGAAATGTCTTTGCTGTGTTGAAATGAGCTTGCATGCGTCAACCCTTCCCTAACTCTAGTGAAAGGAAGCTTGCGCATTGGTTCTCTTTTGTTTGCTTCTGTTTATCATTAAAGCAGATCCAGTGGCTATCTCTGAGGACCTGATGCTTGATAAAGTTTATTCAAGCACAGATTTACTGGATGGTGGATATTATGGTTTCGAGGAACAAAGTTCATTAAATCTATCTTCATGACATCCATTTCTTAGTTTATTGTGTGCTTCCATTTAGAGCATATTCTCAAGTCATGTATAAAGAAGTTTCCATACATTCCAACTAAAGAAGCCTTGGTGAGGTTGTTTAACTTAGCTTTTGTTCATGTATCTAACAGTTGGATGGAAATAGTCATGTGATATATGCTGAAGAAGAAGCAGCTGGTACTCGCCTTCTTATTGATGGAAGAACTTGCTTGTTACAGGTATACATGATTTCTTTTCTACATCAACATGACTCTTTACAGTCTCAAGACATTTCAGCAAAATATAGTATCACTCCACTTTTCTTTATTTTTTTCTTTTGGGCATTACTATCAGCATCATGGTGTGTATTAGTGATAATAAACCATTTAACACTTAGAATTCATACTTTGCAATGTCGTCAATGCTACAAAGTCTCAATAAGCTTTTGATCTGCAAATTTGGGACTGGAAGTAATTGTAATGTAAATCAGAGGACACGCCTTTTCTTATTGAATTTGATGAAGTTGGGAAAATGGATAAAAGATATCTTGGTAATGGTAAATAAATCTCAGCTTCTTTCACGTTCTATTAACTTAGAGAAATTTTGATGTTGACATAGATTCCGAATTTTTATTTTATCATGGATATTAAAGTTATTTAATGTCTTTTAGATTTTATTGTTTTATTAAGATTATCCTAATCAATGTCAGTATGTCTGCTAGCCGTCTGTTAGTAATTTATTATTTCTTCCATCTATAATCTTAAAGATAGTTTTTGACATGGTTATAATTCTTATTGTGGATGTGGATACTTTTCATCATTCTGAGATTTTGATCTTTTCTCAAGTTAAGACTTTCATAAATGCATGGTACTTTTCACTTAACTTTTCATCTTTTTTTTTTCTCCAACATATTTTGTTATTTTTTTAGAAGGTTGTCCTACATGGAGGTCGGTCATTTAGCAATGCTTAATTTGTCTTAGGTGAAATTCTGGATGGAAATTAAAGTTTCTTATGAATCTTTCTTATATTTACAGCCTCATAGCAACTTTACTCGATCATAATTCTATATTAATACTGTTGAACCATCGATTGTTAGTATAAAACATGAAAGTATCTTTTTGCTCGTCATATTTTTGCTCATATTATATTTGATTATAAAAACAATGAAAAAGGTTTTTTCTAGTTTAGTTTCTCAAAGTTTACTGATCAGTTGAGTAGGCTTTCACACAAGCATTCATGAAGCCTGATCTGGATTCTTAATGCCTGCACAAAATGCTTTTATAGCATTTCAGGTTGTAACAATTCAATTATGATAATGTCAAGTTATATCAGTTTGATTGGTTGATTCTAAGCCCCGTACTTTCTTAGATTTCTTATTGTTAGAATTATTAGAATTATTATGTTTAAACAAAATAACCTTATCAATATTATCACATATGGTTAATGGTGTGATAATAATTTATGGTATTTATTATTGTAATATATCCCTTTATTGAAAATATTCTCTTTGATTATATTTTCCTTATTATTCTTTTTTTCTTACCTTTGTATAGGCATATTTGTAGTAGCACCAATTTAATCAAGCAAAGATGTAGCATTTTATATTTTCTACCATAGCATCAGAGCATCCCCTTCATCTTCTCCTCCATCTGGTGATCATTATGTTGTTGGGTTTTCATTTAGGGATATTTTTTCTTGGTTCTATTGTTTTCTTTGGTTTTTCTTGTCACTATCATTTCTCGCGTTAAAGGTTTTTGTCTTCTGTTTCTCTCTATTTAGTTTGGTTCCTTAGGTTTCGGTTGGTTTTCCTCACTGCTATCATCTCTCAAAAAGGAGAGATTTACCCTCTATTTCTTAGAATTTTACTTGATTTCATTGCTCTTGCTTTGTTTAATTCTTCACTCGCCAATGAATGATTTGCCATTACTTTTTTAGATTATGCTTGGTTCTGCTCATTGCTATTGTCCCTCGCCAATGAGGAAATTTTCCTCTGTTTTTCCCAATTTTGTTTGGTTTCAATGCTTTTGCTTAGTTTCACTTGTTGGGATTTCCCTCAGTTTTTCTCAATTCTACTTTTTGGTTGGCAAACTATTGGTGTTACTTGCAGTGGCATCATGAGTTTATGGGGGATTTTAGAATTTATTAGAGCTCTTATGCTTAAAGAAGTTGCCTTATTAATATTGCCTCATGTGGTTAGTAGTTTTCGTAGGAATTTATGGTATTTGTTTTTGTAATTTTTTTTTCATGTTCCTCGTGATTATATTTATCTTATCACTCTATTCTCTTGCCTTTATATTGACATATTTTTATTAATACAGAATTTGATGATTCAAAGGTGTTGCCTTTTATGTTTTCTAACACTTATGATGTCATCCTTCCAACTGATCATTTTCTATCTCATGAAAAGCTATTCACCGAGTAAAAAATCACATTAAAAATTATTACGTATGTAAGATGAATGTGAAAAATAGCAGATCATGATTTTTCTTTTCTGATAAATTACATGTTTTTTTTTGCGGTCTTTTTCAGTTTGAGTTTATTCCTTTCCACCGGTTTAGAATATTTGTAGATTGGGACCCTTAGGCATCTGAGATGCTTATTTTCTTTTGGTGTCAATTTTTCATTGGCAACAGCTAACTATCTATATTTCATCATGGCCCTCACAAGTACAAAAAAAATTTGGGTTAGGCATCCTAACTCAAATTTTATTGGGATGGATTTTCTAAAAAATCACTGGGGACCCCTGAATATCAAGTTTCCTTATTATTTACAGGCCTTAGTTACTTTTGGTAGCTAAAAGATATCTTTAGCAACCATTTTCTTTTTGTATTTATTTTTTTGGTATCCAAGGGTCGAGTCAAATTCGAGGCAATGCCAACAGTTACTTATAAGTTTGTCCCCCTCTAAAAATTAAGGTTGATTTCGCCCCTGTGTGTAGAAACATCAAGAAGATGTTAATGTCCTATGTTACGTATATGGTTATGCTACCTTAATACTTTATGTATGTTTTGAATGAATAGCTATTTGTTTAAGAATTTATTATTCCTCGTTTGCCCTGATAGCCCCTCACGATTTTGCTTTTTTTTCCCCTTCTATTTTGAATAATTTAGGATGATTATTTATGCATCTGCAGTAAGATAATAAAAAACTCCATCCCCATTATTTCAGAATGAACATGATCCGTCCAAGCTTGTGGCAGAGACACCATGCAAACTGCTCCGCTTTTTAGTACCAGATGGTACGCATCTAGATGCTGATACACCTTATGCTGAGGTTGAGGTTATGAAGATGTGCATGCCGTTATTGTTGCCTGCATCTGGAGTTATTCATTTTATATTGACTGAAGGCCAGGCCATGCAGGTAAATTTTTTTGTTGTACACTGATGTTAGATTTTGGCCAAGTTTAGCAAGCTGATGTAACAGTGCAGTAAATATATATATATATTTTTCCAGGCAGGAGATCTTATAGCCAAGTTGGATCTTGATGACCCATCAGCTGTGAAGAGAGCTGAACCATTTCATGGAAACTTCCCAAAGCTAGGTCCTCCAGCTGCAGTTTCTGACAAAGTTCATCAAAGATGTGCTGCAAGTTTAAATGCTGCAAGAATGATTCTTGCTGGCTATGATCATAACATCACTCAGGTAAGATCCTCAAGTGTATGAACATACTTAGGCTTCGTTTGGGACGGCTTGTTTTCTGCTTCTTAAAGCGGGTTTTTTGTACAAAAATTTTATTTTTTGTACTAAAAAGCCGTTTTAAGAAGCAGCAAAAAAAGCCGTCCCAAACGAAGCCTTAATTGTGTCATTATTCATCTTCTTGTTGATACTTAATAACTTCAACGTATGATACCAAGTTTTAAGTCTCCCATAGCCGTTCTGTTGGTTCCATGTTGCAATTTATTGAAGTAAACTTTATATACTAGTTAAGCGAACATTGTGCCGTTTATGTCATGTACGCTACTAATAGCCATGCTTATTAGCTATCTTTTAAAGTTTATAAAGACAAGTGCATCTTATTTTGATTTCCATTTATTGTCACAAAGAATGTTCTGTCCCCAAAATTTATATTGGAAACCTTAGAGAATATTATGCTATAGTATATTGAAGTAATTTATGCTTTCCATGGGAACTCTTTAACTTTTGTTGTCATTAGCTTGGCCCTAAAAGTTTTAATTTAATTGCCAAATAATTGAAAATTCGTATTATTGAATACTATGTGAATTGATTTTGACTTGGTGTTTATTAAGAGGAAAATGTGTAAAATTTATATTAAAGTTATCAAGGATATATATGGTGAGCAATGGGTAACATTCAAAGTAGTTGCAATTGACCAAAGAGCTTTAAGTCACAAGAGGATCCTATCATGATAAGATTATATTTTTTTCCTTATTTTTTTTATTCAAACATTATGTTCACATATTTTGTCATCAATTATGGTGGTGCTTAATTAAGACATTCAAAGTGAGGTACCATGGTGTATAGTATTTAAAAATTAAAAAAATTATATTAATAGGCAAGTTGCCTTCTAGATTAAGTAAAAAATTAGAATAATGGAGAAAATTTTAGAACTTAATGATATTTGAGAAAAGGGGTTTTTAAATTATTATCCGAATATGTTAGTGGTCGAGCAGACGTATAACAAGACTATGATAACAAGAAAGCAACATACATATGTGAGAGGGGGTGGCTAAGGTATGAAATAATGTCGTAATGGAAATGGGGATAGGATCAATCAAGTAGGAGGTTGAGGGTTTCCTTTCTGGTGCCATGATATTATGTAGGGATGCAAATGTACAATATGCTCGACAAGTTACTCGTGCCTTGACTCAATTAGAACCCATTTATAATCATTTAATAAACTATTGAATTAGTTTGAATATTTTTTACAAATACTCGATTGATAAATGAATTAGTTTGAAGAACTTTGTGTTCGATTCATTCATTATCATGAATAATATCATTTAAAGCTTGTGAATAAGCTCATTAAGAAGCTCAATTAATGCTCAATATGCTCATTTAAGAATCGATTGCAAATTTATTTGATATGTGATTTTGTGTGAGTATTGTTCTTTTTATATTAGATTGCTTTTGTTTGTGAATACAAAGTACTTGTTTATATTCATTAAAATGATTGTGCACTTAGTAATTAATTCAATTAAAGTCTCATTTTTAAGCTCAATATATTACTTGTTAATAAATTTGGTTAGGCTTATTTAGTTAACTAACAACTTGCTCTATATTGCTCGTTAATATGTTTGATAAGACTCATGTGGTTAACTAACGAGCCAAACTCAAACAACCATAATTTTGAATGGATCAAGTTTGATCACTACAACAATATTCAAATTGAGCTTAAGCTAGAATAAAATTTTGGCAAATGAGCTCAAGTTCGAGCAAGCTCCTACTGGGCTTGACTCAGTTCATTTATAGCAGTGATAATATGTTGAGAGGCAATTTTTATATTGTTGATCGAATATGTGAGGCCTATAAATAAACATACATGTAGATATAATAATGAAATAAATAAGAGAGAATAATACTCCCAATTATGAGGCTATTAAATTAAATGCAATGACTTTCATTAGAACCTTAATATTTTATCTATGCCACTTATATGTCAACAAGGGGCTTATTAGGGCATAGTTTGGGTATATTTAAGTAAAAGGTTAGTGGATGTGGATTAGTTGTTATAATCAATACTATTAAAAGATTACATGACATCTAGGTGTAATAAATTAATTGAGTCTCTTATATTAAAAAAGGATTGTATAAATGAGGATAAAATTTCTAAACTAAAATTTGTGGTTAAAATGGAGTAAATTAAAATATTGTGCAATTAGAACAGCATGTTGGCTGTAGAATTTCTCTCTCCAAGCTCTAGAAATCAATGTTAGGCAACATAATATTCAATGTAAAATAAGGATTTTTTGAGAAACTATTATGTCAATGAAATCTTGATGGTGAGGCAATTTAAAGGAAGGGAAAAATTCACGTCACTCAGACTGTTAGATAGCTTTAATATGAAAGGATTAGAGGAAAGTGGTAATTCAATGGTGTATGATTAGAAATTCTGCTTTATACTTAATTTAGAACTCGATAGGATTCATTAAATGGAGAATTCATAAAGCAGACCAAAATAGCTGTACTAGGATGATGGTGTACAATATTATTAATTTGGGGAAGGCTTTCTTTGGGAGCATGTTTCTTAATGCCAAATGCATTAGTTGCCATTGAAGTAGACAAAATTAGCAGATCTACCTGAAATGGTAATAATTTCTGAACGAACATAAAATTTTTATCCTTTGCTACTTTCTTAAAACATTTTTCCTCTTCTATTGAGGAGATTAGACATGGTTGTCAATGAGAAGCCATCTGATGAGAACGGAAATGCAACAATGGAAATAATTGTCTGCTCTGAATTTTCCTGAATATTCTGAGCAATGCCACTCTGCTGATCTACATTTTGATCCATTTTAATTTCTTCTAATCATTTTACTTTTTCATCAATCAGGTTGTGCAAGATCTACTAAACTGCCTGGACAGTCCGGAGCTTCCCTTCCTTCAGTGGCAAGAGAGCATGTCAGTATTGGCCACTCGTCTTCCAAAAGATCTAAAAAATGAGGTTTTTTTTCTGAAAACTATAACTTAAGTTATTTTGTTTATTTCTTTTAGTTTTGCTTTGTGTTTGACCGTTTCCTAAAGCAATATTTTTCTCTTGACTTGCGCTTCCAGTTAGATGCCAAATACAAGGGGTATGAGACAATATCAAGCTATCAAAAGAACATTGAGTTCCCTGCCAAGTTACTGAGGGCAGTTCTTGAGGTACTGGATCTTTCAGTTCCATCATCATCCTGCAATTTGTTTTTTAAAATTTTTTTCTTTTTTGTTCCTTAATGTATCTATTCCACAGGCTCACCTCTCATCCTGCTCTGAGAAAGAAAATGTCACACTGGAGAGACTTGTGGAACCTCTAATGAGTCTTGTAAAGTCACATGAAGGTGGAAGAGAGAGCCATGCTCGTGTAATTGTGATTTCTTTATTTGAACAATATCTCTCTGTTGAGGAATTGTTCAGTGATACCATTCAGGTGCCTGATCTTTAAGAACTTATCAATTAAAGTATGTTGTACTTAATAGTAGAGAAGGCTTCTATCAAGAACTTATGCATTCTCTCCTCTTTTGTTTAGGCTGATGTCATTGAGCGCCTCCGATTACAATATAAAAAAGATCTACTAAAAATTGTGGACATAGTTCTTTCCCATCAGGTATGACTCTGCTAATGGTGTTATTTTGCCCAAAATTACTGGCCTATTTTTTGTGGCTAATATTTATGTGGTTTATATAAATGTTAACCACAAAATTATGTTAATATAAGTATTTACTCAATATATTGCAGGGTGTAAGGAGTAAGAATAAGCTAATATTAAGGCTTATGGAGGCCTTGGTTTATCCTAACCCTGCTGCATATAGGGATCAACTGATTCGTTTTTCTGCCCTTAATCACACCACTTACTCCGAGGTCTGGGATTCCTGTGCTACTTCAATCCTCATTTCTCTTTTTTTTTTTCCCAAACATTTTAACTCTTGTGTTGCATGACCTACTTTCAATATTGCAGCTGGCTCTGAAAGCAAGTCAACTACTTGAGCAAACAAAACTGAGTGAACTCCGCACGAGCATTGCCAGAAGCCTCTCAGAGCTTGAGATGTTTACTGAAGAAGGGGAGCGTGTGTCTACTCCAAGGAGAAAAAATGCCATCAATGAAAGAATGGAGGATCTTGTTGGTGCTCCATTGGCTGTTGAGGATGCTCTTGTGTCTCTATTTGACCACAGTGATCCTACACTTCAGAGGAGAGTTGTTGAAACGTACATCCGCAGGCTTTACCAGGTAACTGTAAATTCTGGTCCATTGACCATTTTTGTCCTGCTGAAGCTCAACACAATATTCTTCGCCTATTTGATTTTATTTTATTTTTTCCTCTTCTTGTATTGAATGTACTGTGCATCTTCAGCTTCTAACTCAATGCTCTTTTCAGCCCTATCTTGTGAAGGGTAGCATTCGTATGCAGTGGCACAGATCTGGTCTTATTGCTTTATGGAAATTTTCTGAAGAGCATATAGAGAAAAAAAATGGGCCTGAGGATACAGTGCCTGACAAACCTTTGTTAGAGAAGCATTGTGAAAATAGATGGGGCGCCATGGTGATCATCAAATCTCTACAATTCCTACATGCTGCAATCAGCGCTGCACTGAAGGAATCAACAAATACTTTGAATTCTGAGGGTGATGATGAACTGATTTCAAAGGACGTTTCAGATAAGGCTAGTCATGGCCACATGCTGCATGTTGCATTGGTTGGTATTAACAACCAAATGAGTTCACTTCAGGATAGGTATGTGTCATCTTCGTATAAAATATATTTATCTGGATTACTTATCATGTTGCTTCAAAAATGGCGTCATGATCTGTTTCTAGTTTTGATTTTTGGAATTTTAGGATGCCTTTGTTCTCTGAAGATGACACTTTGATCTTACTAGATAATGTAACTTTTTGCAGTGGTGATGAAGATCAAGCTCAGGAGAGGATACATAAGCTTGCAAAAATTTTAAAAGAGGAATCTGTCAGCTTTGATCTCAGAGATGCAGGGATTAGAGTTATTAGTTGTATCATACAGAGGGATGAGGGGCGAGCTCCAATGCGTCATTCGTTCCATTGGTCATTAGAAAAGCTCTATTATGATGAAGAACCTCAACTTCGGCACTTGGAGCCTCCTCTCTCTACCTTTCTTGAATTGGTTTGTGACGTGCTGGACCTGTTCATGCCTTTTGTTTTCTCTATCTTTTGTTGCTATTCATTTATTTGTCTAGTTCCTTCTTTAGGACAAACTCAAAGGCTACAAAAAGGTGCAGTATACACCATCCCGAGATCGGCAGTGGCATCTGTTCACTGTTCTTGAGGGAAATATACCAATTCAAAGGATGTTTCTTCGGACGATTGTTAGACAACCAAGCACAAACGAGGGGTTTTCACTAGGCCCTGCACTTGATATTGAGACCTCTCAAGCAAAGCAGTCCATGTCCTTTACATCAATCTGTATATTAAGGTCAATATTGACAGCACTTGAGGAATTAGAACTGAATGTTCATAATGCAACCACCAGATCAGAATATTCTCACATGTATCTTTGCGTGCTGAGAGAACAGCAGCTTTATGATCTTGTACCATTTTCAAGGTCAGTCTTTTTTGCAATATCTTGATTTCTTTTACCCAATTCTTTAATATGTAGCAGTTGAATCTGATCAAGCTGTACTGGACAATCATAAACATCTTTTTTTTGTCACTAGAGCTTTCGATGAGGCATCTGGCCAAGAGGATCGTGTAGTGTACTCGATTTTGGAAGAGTTGGCTCTCAAAGTTCATGAACTGGTTGGTGTGCGTATGCATCGTCTAGCTGTTTGTGAGTGGGAAGTCAAGCTTTTCCTGGCTACTGATGGACTTGCTCATGGTGCATGGAGGATTGTAGTCACCAATGTTACTGGTCACACTTGCACTGTTCATGTGCGTATACTTTATGACACCTACTTTCTCATCTATAGGTACTTTTAAATTAACTTTTCAACTCCTATTCTAGGTCTACCGAGAAGTGGAGGACAGCAAAACCCATGAAGTTGTGTACCATTCTGCCTCTTCCTTGTCTGGTCCTTTGCATGGTGTGCCTCTGAGTGCTTTGTATCAGCCTTTAGGTGTCATTGATAGAAGGCGTTTATCAGCAAGAAGGAACAACACCACTTACTGTTATGATTTTCCACTGGTAAAGTTTTTTTTTTTAGCTGGAATAAATGATTTGTTTTACCACTACATTGTTGGAAACATTTAAGATGTAAACTCACTTTGAAAATTTTGTTTATTGGAGGCTTTTGAAACAGCACTTCGGAAGTCTTGGGCTTCTAATTTGTTGGATAACAAGGAAGGAAAAGGACGCAAGGACCTACTCAAGGTCAGGGAGCTTGTATTTGCTGATAGAAGGGGAACTTGGGACACTCCCCTTGTTCATGTGGACCGCTCTCCTGGTCTTAATGATGTAGGCATGATTGCATGGTTCATGGAGATACTAACACCAGAGTTCCCTAATGGAAGGAAGATCATTGTTGTTGCAAATGATGTTACTTACCAAGCCGGGTCATTTGGTCCAAAAGAAGATGCTTTCTTCTATGGTGTGACCAACCTGGCTTGCAAGATGAAGCTTCCTTTGATTTACCTTGCTGCAAATTCCGGTGCTAGGATTGGAGCGGCAGAGGAAGTCAGATCTTGCTTTCGTGTTGCTTGGTCTGATGATCTCAATCCAGAACGTGGATTCCAGTATATTTATCTCACACCAGAAGATTACTTTCGTATTCAATCATCAGTCATAGCCCATGAGTTGAAACTTGAAAGCGGTGAGACCAGATGGGTTGTAGACAGCATTGTTGGAAAACAAGATGGTTTAGGCGTTGAGAATCTTGCTGGAAGTGGCGCCATTGCCAGTGCTTATTCAAAGGCATATAAGGAAACCTTCACTTTGACTTTTGTCACCGGACGAACGGTTGGTATCGGAGCTTATTTGGCACGGCTCGGCATGAGGTGTATCCAACGTCTTGACCATCCAATTATTCTCACTGGCTTCTCTGCTCTAAATAAACTTCTTGGCCGTGAAGTCTACAGCTCCCATATGCAGCTTGGTGGTCCAAAAATAATGGCAACAAATGGTGTTGTTCATCTGACAGTGCCTGATGATATTGAGGGTATTTCAGCAATCCTCAAGTGGCTCAGCTTTGTTCCTCCTTATGTTGGTGGACCTCTTCCTATTTCTGTATCATTGGATCCACCACAGAGACCAGTGGACTACCTGCCTGAGAACTCCTGCGACCCTCGGGCCGCCATAAGTGGGATAAAGGATAGCAGTGGTAAGTGGTTAGGAGGCATCTTTGACAAAGATAGCTTTGTGGAGACACTAGAAGGTTGGGCCAAGACAGTGGTCACTGGGAGAGCAAAGTTGGGAGGAATTCCTGTTGGGGTTATTGCAGTTGAAACGCAGACAGTTATGCAAGTGATCCCTGCTGATCCTGGCCAACTTGATTCACATGAAAGAGTTGTACCTCAAGCTGGGCAAGTCTGGTTCCCTGATTCTGCCACCAAGACTGCGCAAGCATTGATGGACTTCAACAGGGAGGAGCTTCCACTCTTCATCCTTGCAAATTGGAGGGGTTTCTCTGGTGGTCAAAGGGACCTCTTTGAAGGTATTCTACAGGCAGGTTCCACCATTGTCGAGAACTTGAGGACGTATAAGCAGCCGGCCTTTGTTTATATTCCTATGATGGCAGAACTTCGTGGTGGAGCCTGGGTTGTGGTGGATAGCAAGATCAACCCTGAACAGATCGAGATGTATGCCGAAAGAACTGCCAAAGGAAATGTACTTGAACCTGAAGGGATGATTGAGATCAAGTTCAGGCCGAAAGAGATTATGGAGTGTATGGGGAGGCTCGATCAAGAGCTCATCTCGCTGAAATCCAAGCTTCAGGAGGCCAAGGCTGGAATTGGAGGCCATGAGAGTGTGGATTCTCTTCAGAAGAGCATTTCAGCTCGTGAGAAACAGCTGCTGCCTGCTTACACTCAGATAGCAACAAGGTTTGCAGAGTTACACGATACTTCCCTGCGGATGGCTGCGAAGGGCGTGGTCAAGGAGGTAGTCGATTGGAAGGGCTCTCGTTCTTTCTTCTATAAGAGATTGAACAGGAGAGTTTCCGAGTGGTCGCTTATAAAATTGGTAACTGCTGCTGCAGGGGACGAATTGTCTAATAAATCTGCACTTGAGCTCATCAAGAATTGGTTTTTGGCTTCTGGGGCTAACTGGGAGGATGATGAGTCTTTCTTTGCTTGGAAAGATGATCCGCTAAACTATGAAAAACATCTGAAAGATCTGCGAGCTAAGAGGTTGTTGTCTCAGCTCTCCAGCCTTGGAGAATCATCTTCATCTGACTTGGAAGCTCTTAAGCAAGGCCTTTCTGCCCTTCTCTCTAAGGTAACCAGAATGATCCATTTTTACTTGCTTATATATAACATGAAAGATTACTGATGATTTTATTGTTTGAATCCGGTGCAGATTGAGCCTTCAAGTCGAGCACAGTTGATAGAAGAAGTTCAGAAGTTATCTGGCTGATTGCTTTTGTATGGATAGCATGAAATGGAATTTCATTGTATAATATAATTCATTCCTTGCAGCCAGGTATTGTGAAAGAGCATGGGATATTTCTTTTCTCCTTGGCAGCACGGATGATAGTGTATTTACATCTTCTGTGTCTTAATATTTATACATAGGGTGGGTTGAGGCAGTAGAAATTGTTGAATTGATCTCTGTTAATGTTGATGAGATGATTGAGATCAATGAGTTTGTGTTTTTGAAGCAATTATTTCCATTAAACATTAAGATTAATGCAAGTTATATTTTTTATAACTTCATCAAAATTCCAATTTGTGAAGTAGCTGAGCAAAATCCTATCTTCTAATTAGGTCATATATTCATTGATCGCAGGTGTTCAAATGTGATTATAGAGCATGAGAGCAATTGGATGAATATGATATAATAAGGTTTTTGATCTAAATATAATTGGAAAATTCTAACAGTTTCATACATTCATTGACCGCAGGTGTAAAAATGTGATTACTGTTATGGAAATCTTTCCATACCTAATTCAGCTCTAATTTACAAAGCTTTTATTGGTTTTGATTGGGAAAGCATTAATTAGGAGATCCAATTATTGACTGGATTTTTTACATTTGTTTTTGTTTCAAATCTATATATTGAGAGTTGAGGGCTGCTGGAAGGTGTGCAAGAGTGCAATTGTAACCCTCTTTCTACACAATAATAAAATCACTCTCCCTGTGGACTTAAAAAAAAAAAAAATCTTTTTCTGTGGACGTAAGCGATTCTTCGTCAAACCACATAAATCAGATATGTTCATTGTGTTTGGTTGTGTGATTTGTGTTGTTTTTCATTGTTTATTGCACAATTGGTATCATAGCCAGATTTTCGTGCAATTTTCAATGAAATCTGGAGATATACGATTCTTCATGTTCCTGTTCGTTCTTCTCTAGTTGAGCAAGTTTTCGAAGTACTCGGTCGGATCTAGCAAAGCAGATATGCATGCGGGCCTAGCGCACAGGAGTGGAGAAGCATTTTGTGTGAAACACAGGTGCAGGTCGCACGGAGGCCAAGGCATTCGCACGGAAACGTGCGGGAGTTCATGAGGCCTAGCGTGTGGTTGTTCGTGAAAAGTAGGTTGAAGGTACAAAGCCACGATTTCATGCGATTCTTGACCGAACGGAGACAGGCCACAATTGTGTGCGGAACGGGGTCATTCGTGTGCTTGAGACATGAGCAAGGTCCGTCTTCACGTGCAATTTGAGCCGAACAGAGGAAAAGAATAATCGAGTGTCTGAGGATAAATTATTCTGTGCGGTCACTGAACGTCCTCCGGAGGCCAATCAGTACTTTCCACATCACCAGCACACTATGTACTGGCATTGTGTACCGCAATGTATGGGATAACGTGGCGCATCTTGATTGGCCTCCGGACGGTTCGATGACCACATGTAGTAATTTCTCGTGTCTGAGATGGGATTGGGCAGATGCGTGCAAACACCTTGCTTTTGAGAGTCAGATTGATACAATTTCGACGACATAAGGCAACTACGATTCATAAGAAAAAAAAATTGTGCAGGATATGAAATTCAAAAGAGCCATCAATACATCCACCTCGATGGTGGACAAGGCGGCGATCGATTAGGTGGTTATACATCCTGTCAAAATTGATTTGACTAAATTTGATGACAAATATAACTTTGGCATGTGGATATGTGATTCGTTGTGTTCTCTGAATCTAGAGGAAGTGTTGGATAGCGATGAACGTCCTAAAGAGATATCTGAGAGAGATTGGCTGAAGATGAATCAGAATGCCTGTGGTTTGATCAACAATGGCCAATCACATGAGATCAAGTATGGAGTGATGATGACAACTTATGCAGGGAAATTGTGGAAGACTTAGTAGAATAAATATATGACGAAGAACATGGAGAATCATCTCCATATGAAATGCCGACTCTATAGATTTTAGATGAGACATAGGGTTACTAATGATGAGCACCTTAATGATTTCACAAAGTTGTTGGTAGATCTACTGAATCTAGATGAGGAGGTTGGAGATGAAGACAATATGCTCATGTTGAATTTGCTCTCTGATGAATATGAGAATCTCATGCTGACTCTCATTCACGGGAAGGAGGTATTGAATTATGGTGAGGTGACTACGACATTATTTAATCACGAGTTCTGTCGTAGTGACAAGGAATATGCATAATTTATTCAATTGAGGCTCTCATATACCAACGAGGAAGATCTAAGAAGTAGAAAATAAAAAGGGCGGCAACGAAAATAAGCGGGGAAAGTCTTGTAGGTGCGATCTTGAGAAAAATTAATGTGATTTCTGTTTAGAGATTCATCGTTGGAAGAAAGATTGTTCGAAGTTGAAGGAGAAGATAAAGAGAGTTTTCTATGAGGTAAAGGCAAATCTTAGTGTGAAAAAGTGTGATGAAGACTCCAATGTATTACTATCTGCAATTTGTCATAGTTTGTATATAGATAAGTTATGCTGGATTCTGGACACTAGTGCTACCTATCACATTTGTCTCATTCAAGAGTGGTTTTGTACCTACAGGGAGCTTGATAGTAGTGTGGTGATTATGGGAAAGGATCAAGTTTGTCATACTATTGATGTATGGAGCATCTTCATCAGAATGCATGATTGTACTATTAGAGAGCTGATTGATGTGAGACACATTCCAGATATCAAGAAGAATCTGTTGTCTATTGGGGCATTAGAGACCAAGAGCTACATGATAGTTATGTGAGTTATGAACATATACCATGAAGCATTTATTTTTTTGAAGGAATTTGTCATCACAAGCTTTACTATCTTTAGGTTAGAACAATGATTTGAACGGCTTTTGTTGCCGATGATTCTTCTGGTGCCACTACATTGTGGCGTATGAGACAAGCTCATACTGGAGAGGCTTCACTATGGCTTTGGTAAAGAAATAATTGATCAAAGGAGCAAGCACCTGCAAGCTCAATTTCTGTGAAAATTATGTGTTTGGCAAGAAGACACTAACATCATTTGGTACTTTTATCTACAATACAGAAGGGTATTCTTGAGTATGTTCACACAGATTTTTGAGGCCCAATGAATATAACATCATTCGACGGGCAGATATATTTTCTCTTTTATTGATGATTATTCCAAATATGTGTACATCATGAAGCACAAGAACGAGGTATTGAAGATTTAAAAACTTGGAAGAAGTGGATTGAGATTCAGACTAGTAAAAGGATCCAATGTATTAAATCAAACAATGGGGCCGAATACACATCTGATGCATTTTTGCAAGAGTGCCAGAGATCTGGGATAGAGCGTATGATGCAGGATATATATGAAAATATGATTTAAATAAGGATTTTGCACACTTGATGATTAAGAGCAAGTTAGCTAAAGCTTGATGGTGATTTAGACAATGAAATAAAACACAAAGAGCGGTAACAAAAGCTTAGGCCAAGTCACTTGCGAAACATAACAATCAATTTCTCATGACGTTGCATGCTAAATAGCTTTCAACAAGAAATCCCTAATCTAACAATAAGATTAGGCATGTGAGGTTCTCTCACTCAACTCTCCTACATTTAATAGGCTTTAGCGGAGTGTTGCATGATTTTTGCATGATTCAATCAAAACCATAAGTATCAACGAAGAAGGAATAAGAGAAGAAAATTGTTCACCCTTGTCGAGATTAAACTCGAAATAAAGCCGTAAGAACAAAGTTTCGGATTCGGGATAGCTGTTTGACAGGCATTCTTTGTGGTGACGGCACTTAGGAACCCTCCGGCAAGCTTGGGCAGCAGTAGGTGGCTGCAGGAACCTGTGGACAGCATACCTCTATGTCCAGAAAATTCTGAACAGCAAACTATCCAATTCTGGAATGCTTGATAGCAGTTATCACAGCATGGACAGCAATCTTATAACTTGGAAAATCTGAACAGCAGCAATAGGAAGGCTTCAGGCAGCACTCGGAGGGTCTATGGCAGCAAAATGGTTGATTTCCCTTTGCTGGAGTTGATGGGCAGCAGGAAGAAAATCTTGAATTTACTGGACAACGTGCAAATTGTGCCCAGAAATCTGGACATCACATAGTAATCCTGTAGAGGAAGAAAACCAAGAGGTGGCATGCTTGGGGAAGATGGCTAGGGCTGAGGGGAGCTACGGGATTGATTGGGAATTAATTTTAGGGAAATTAATGGGATAGGAGAGAGGTAGGGGGGCGGCTAGATGATTAGAGCTTCATTGGATTCAAAATAGGGAAGGGTTTTAATGGGAAAGGGGAGGGAAAAGGGGGATATCGGTCCTGCATGAAGGTATAAATTAGGATTTGAATTCTTTCCAATCAAAGGTGATTAACTTTGGAAAGAGATTTAAAGGGAAACCTCTAATTAAATTCAGATTTGGGATAATAGGAAAGTTTTCAAATTGAATCCGTCTTAATTTAAGAAAGGATTCAAATTCAAAAAAAATTGAGTTGGAGTTTGAAAACTTTCCAAATTTAAGAGGATCTAAATTAGGTAAGCTTCCAATTCTTTTCTTAGAGGAGTCTTGGGAGAGAAAAGGAAGGTAATTAATTAAATCTAATTATTATTAACTATTAATTAATCATGATTAATTAAGTTTAATTAATTTTTAATTAATCATTAATTAATTATACTTAATTATAATTAATTATCATTATTAATAATTAATTATAATAAATAAATAAAAGAAAATCATCTCTTACATTGGTGTGCGTGTTGAGCCGGCAAACCATCCATACACGCTTTTCTCTAATGTGGTGGGAAGGGAACCCGATCTGACAGCTGTGACGAGGTAGGTGAGCAACCCTCGGTCCCAAAATCTTATTCTCGGCGTTCATAGTCTAGCCGGCAAATCGCCCATATACCCTTTTCTCTAGCGTGATGTGAAGGGAACCCGTTGCGACACCTACGGCGAGACAGGTAGGCCTAGTGCACGCTTTTCTTAGCGTGGTTGGGATAATCTTTAAGTACCCATACGCGGCTCTGTACCTGCGGGGAAACAATTGCTTTTTTTGCAACAGGTACCAAAGACCCATACATGCCTTTGTCTAGTGTGGTGGGGACGAAGATTTTACGATCGCGGTGTCCTCGTATGAGGACACCTATCGTACATACTTTTCTCTAGCATGGCGGGAGGCCCAGTTTTCCATAATTTTCCCCTAAACGGGAGAGATGCCGGGAGATTGCTGAAATTCCGGGTAAATATAAGACTGCGCCTGAACTTGATTTAAACTCAAATGAGCAGTGGACTTGTGGACCTGAACCTGAACAAAATCTAAATGATGAATAAAAG